AGTTCAAATCAATATAATTCGGGAAACGGGCAAAGGCGTCAGACGTAGGTCGTGGTCTAGTCGCTAATAGTCAATCGGCCCCTATTTCAAATCCAAATTCTCTTGTTTTGCAGTACATCTTAACTCAAGCGAGTGCTGATGAATGTCCTTATGTTTTGGTAAATATTTTAGGTCAAAAAATGTATGGATTATTAGACTCAGGCGCAAGTAGGACATTTGCTAATCGTAAGGGTTGGGAATTATTGAAAGGTTTAGGGTTTAAATTAGAAAGGACTGATCTGGAGTGTAAGGTTGCGAATGATGAGATATGCAAATGTATTGGTGTCATAAGTGTTCCTATTCAATTAAAGCATGTAGTTAAAGTTATTGATGTCTATATTATTCCTCAGTTGCGACATACTTTATATTTAGGCATTGATTTTTGGAGTCGAATGGGTATAGTGCCGGATGTTAGAAAAGGAGAATGGCATTTTTCATCTAACGAAATGGTTGCTCCTGAAGTTAACTCGGTAGAGTGTATGAATGATTTAAGTGAAAATGAATTAAAGACTTTAAATAGTTTAATTGATGAATATTTTAGTAATGTAGATGAGTCAAAGTTAGGATGTACAAACGTAGTTAAACATAAAATAGTCACTAGTAGCAAACCAATAAGACAACGTCCATATCCTGTGTCTCCCTATAAGCAAAAGGTTATAGATGAAGAGGTAGACAAACTTTTAAAACAAGGTATTTTGGAAAAGAGTAATAGTGGCTGGTCAAATCCTATTTTGTTAGTCCCTAAAAAAGACGGCTCCTGGCGATTTTGCGTCGATTTTAGGAAACTTAACGCAGTTTCTGAACGAGATGTTTATCCTTTGCCATTTTTAAATTCAATCTTAAGTAAATTAGGTAACGCTAAGTACATTAGTTCTTTGGATATAAGAAGTGCTTATATGCAGGTAGAATTGGAAGAAGAGAGTAAACCTTTGACAGCAATTTCAATTCCAGGACGTGGTTTATTCCAATTCACACGTATGCCTTTTGGTCTTCATAGTGCTGGTGCTACCTTTCAGAGACTTGTTGACACAATTTTTGGCCCCGAATTAGAACCCTTCGTTTTTGTCTATTTAGACGACATAATCGTTGTAACTCCAACACTAGATAAACATCTCGAGGTACTGCAGGAAATTTTCAAGCGTCTTTTACAGTCTAACCTTACTCTTAATAAGGAAAAATGTAACTTTTGTAGATCAGAACTTAAATATTTAGGATATGTTGTGAATCGTAAAGGTCTACACGTCGATCCAGACAAGGTATCAGCAATTGTCAATATTGCCGCCCCGAAGAACATTTCTGATGTAAGGTCAATAATTGGTATGGCTAGTTGGTATAGAAAATTTATTAAAAACTACTCGGATATGATAGCTCCATTGTCAAATTTACTGAAAAAGGGAGTAAAGTTTGTTTGGTCTGCTAGTTGTGAAAAAGCCTTGCTCAATATTAAAGATGCATTAGTGAGTGCTCCAATTCTATCTTGCCCAAATTTTGAAAAATCTTTTATTCTTCAGTGTGATGCATCTGGTTTTGGAATTGGATCCGTTTTGTCACAGAAATATGATGGTTCGGAGCATGTTATTTGTTATCTTTCGAGATCCTTGACAAAAAACGAGCGTAAGTATTCCACAACCGAGCGAGAATGTTTGTCTGTGCTTTGGTCTATAGAAAAGCTCCGTTGCTATTTGGAGGGTGCAGAATTTGAAGTTGTGACAGATCATCATTCCTTAATCTGGTTAAATAACCTAAAAGATCCTCAGGGTAGACTTAGTAGATGGGCTTTAAGACTTCAGCAATTTAAATATTCCATCGTACACAGGAAAGGTAAAGAACACCTCGTTCCAGATGCTCTTTCTAGAAGTGTACCAGTCTGTGAAAATGTAACTCTTAGTATGAATGTTGGTATGGATGATGATTTTAATAATGTTACAGATAAGTGGTATTTAGGTTTGCGAGAAAAAGTATTAAATAGTCCGTTAAACTATCCCAAATGGCGAGTGTCTAGTAATAAGTTATATAAGTATGTAGAGTGTGATTTTCCTGAGCTACGCACTGATGAAGAATACTGGAGATTGGTTTTGCCAAAAGAGAAACGTCGTGATATAATTTATAATTGCCATAATATTCCAATTTCGGGCCACTTGGGAATTTATAAAACCTTTCATCGAGTTTCACGTCTATATTATTGGCCGTCTATGAAAAAAGATATCACTAGATACATTAACTGCTGTAAAGTTTGTCAGAAAACTAAACCCGAGCAAAAACGTAAGGCGGGTATGATGGGCAATAAACCGATTGCGAAACGTTGTTGGGAAATCGTAAGTACAGATCTGGTCGGACCACTTCCTAAAAGTACCCATGGTTATATACATATTCTTGTAGTATGTGATAGTTTTAGTAAATATTGTCTATTTCTTCCATTACGTAGAGCTACTGCTGCTAATGTGGCAAAGTTATTAGAGGAAAATGTTTTTATGATGTTTGGTATTCCTAAATTTATTTTATGTGATAACGGCGTACAATTCAAAAGTAAAGAATTTAGTAAATTGACAGGTACATACGGAATTAAGACTATTTTTAACCCCGCATATACTCCCGAAGTAAACCCAACTGAAAGATTAAATCGTGTGCTAAAAACCATGTTAACAGCTTATGTTAATGAAAATCATAGATTATGGGATAGTAATTTACAACATTTGGCTTGCGCTGTTCGTTCTGCTCGTCATGAAGTTACAGGTAAAACTCCTTATTTTGTAAATTTTGGACAAGAAATGGTGTTGCACGGTAGTGAATTTGCAAAAGACGGGATAGCTGAAAAAGAGTCAAGATCGAATGGAAAGGATGAGGGAAGTTTAAGAAAATTGAGGGAATTTGTTTACCAACGATTAAAAAATAGTCAAGAGAAAACGAGTAGGCAGTATAACTTGAGACGTAGACCTGTTTCTTATGATGTTGGTAATTTGGTTTTAAAAAGAAATTTTAAGTTATCGGATGGAGGTAATTATTATGCGGCGAAATTGGCAGAAAAATTTTCTGGACCATTTAGGATACGTAAAAAATTAGGACATTGTGTGTATGAATTGGAGGATCTAGACGGATTAAGTAAAGGAAATTGGCACGTAAAGGATATGAAACCCTTTAATGACGCTGAGTTTGAGGATAAGTGTTAGCTGTTTAGATTTTTTTTTGGCGATGTGTTTTGTGTGTTGTGAGTCTTGTTATAACTGGTTGTAAGGAAAAAAAAATCTCGGAAGTAAGGGGGGAGTTGTTACGGTCTAAAATTGAGGGTTTCACTAAATCTTATGATATTAATTTTATTGGAAAATTTAATATGCGGTTCGATAAAGCTGGCGACACCTTTAAATTAATTACCAAATAGTTTAATTTACTGTAAAGGAATCAATAAAAACGATTTGTTTATTTACAGTTATTTATACAAAAAAAACACATTTCTTATTGCGATCTTTATTTATTCTTAAACCTTTATAAATAACGAAATCTGTAACTATAAAACAATCTTTTATTTTTACATTTTATTATAATTAAATGATATAATAATTAATAAATTCAAATTGGTACATATATTATAATATTCATAAGAGTCGTTCCTGTTGCCAAAATAATTTTAACTTATTATTTAAAATTATTAATATTAATTTAATATTATCATCCTTGGCCCTCTATGGAAAATCATTCTAAGTATAATCTTTTTATGCTGAACCCTCTCCTTGAAATGTCATTCTCTTGGTGACTGTTCTCTGGTGACTCGCCATCTTGGTTATTCGGTGGAAGGAAATATAATTTGGCTGTATTTAGTGCCATCGTTATAATTAACGGATTTAAGTATTTCCCCATATGCCATCTACGTTCAATAAGTTGTTGTGGTATATTATTTTATTGAAAAGTAGTGTAGTTTATTGGATGTTAGCGGATTTATTCCGGATTTCGGCAATAGCCAATTCACCAAACAATTTCTTCTTATAATCGGTAAGTCTTGATCGTCAGTATGTCTTGTATGATATTAACTTAGTTGTTTATTTTATTAGTTCCTGTGTTGTGTATTTGGAGATAATTTCCTTAACGTTGTCCAAACGTATTTGCAAGGGTTGCAAGCCACCAAAAGTGGTAAGTTATTTATTTTATTTTGGGTTTTCTCTCTGTTAGTCTTTTATCTTTGAGTTACCAGTTTTCTCTCCATAGGCTATTAGTGCGAGGTGATAAATAAACTTGGAACTCGCGCTGTACGAGGTTAAGTCCCCTTGTCGACCAGTGGATGAGCCTTAGCACGTACCATATGTATGGATAAGTTGGACCTAGATGCTGACCAAGTTAGGAGACTGATAAGTACCATAGTTTAGTTTTGGGATTTCGAGCTATAAGTATATTCCACCTGCAGTTATTGGTTTAGTTAATTTTATTGAATATCATTTATATTTTCTTACATTACGTTGTAAAGACAAATTAGCTAATTTGCGCTACCATAGTCAATGTTATTTTATATATATATGTTTATATATATATTTTACAATCAATATTAATTACTTTTATAACGAATCTTAAATATACTTTATGGCATAAACATTACTAATTTATTGCTGGGTATTTATCAGTTTAGCCATTTGACTTTGGGAATTTTGCAATTTAGCCATAGCCTATAATTTATCATCGGGGTAAATTGCATGGCGCCCTATACCAACGAAACTTAAAATAGATTTTTCTTATACCCACCCCCTTCTCCTTTGAGCTACCGGAGCTACTAGGCTTACATAAGTCTTTTGCTACAAACGCCGTAGCAGTATATAATACAAATAGAAAGATAAATAATAGTTAGGTAAGGTATATTTTTTTCTTTATTTATAATAATTAAGTAAAACATAACCTCTCAACTACAGGTAAAAATCTATGAAAAAATAAATAATAAGAGACGAAACAAAGAATATTTGTATTCTTCCTGTTCAACATCTATGTCCAAATCCACAAGGTGGCGGTGGAAAAAATTTAAAACTAATAATAATAATGAGGAAGTAGTTGCTCCAAATGAGATCATTCCTATCGATAACGCTCTTGATGGCCAAGGTAATGAAGAGAACTTTGAATTATATGAGAGTACAAGCTGTAGCAGTAATAATAACTCTACAGACCCTCTTGGAGATGATAATAATGATAATTATGAAGGATCTGATGACAGTAGTTCAGATCAAAGTAATCAACGAACACCAGGTTTTAACCGTGATATTGTTTTTCCTCAGTCTTCATTGAGCATAGTTGATATTAAAATAATGATCAGTGCCTTTTCCCTAAGACATTCTCTAAGCAAGGAAGGCACAAAGGATCTTTTAAAAATGATAGAAGTGCTGGCAGGAAGGCCTTTGCAAACCTCAAGTTATAAAATAGCTAAACTTATTCATCCTCCAGTCGATGCAGTTCAATATAATTTTTATTGTCAACATTGTGGTAATAGCTTAGAAAACAATATTTTAAAGGCAGACATTCTGGGAAGAAAAAGTAATTGCAATGTTTGCAACAAAGAAACTGTGTTCTCATCTGCCATTAATTCCAATACATTAGATCTCACACACCAATTAAAACTTTTTCTGGAAAACCCAAATATACAGAAGCACTTAATTAGGTATGAAGATGCTTTGTCAAACCCAAACAGGCTTTACTGGGATATTTATGACAGCACTCTTTACAAGAGTGTAGCATTTAATAATCAAAGAACTTTTAACCTTACGTTTATATTTAGTTCTGATGGTGCACCTGTATTTCAGTCATCCAAATATTCAATGTGGCCAATTCAAATGTTGTAAATGAGCTGCCTCCAGAAATGCGATTTTGAAATACCATTCTTGCAGGCATCTGGTATGGGCGAACAGAACCCGCTATGAATGTCTATATGGATGTTTTTGTAAAAAATATCAAGCATTTAACTAATGAAGGAATCTTAGTTAAATACAATAATAAGCACCACACATTTGTGCTGAAGCCTTTAGCCTGTGTTGTTGATACTGTTGCAAGGGCATCTATACAGAATGTAACACAGTTTAATGGTTTCTTTGGTTGCAGTTACTGCTACCATCCTGGCACTACAATTAATAGGATTGTGAAGTATCCTTACATTGACAATATTGAATTGCGCACCACTGAAGAGGTAATGAACGATATGATGGGTGCGCTGAGAAGTAAAAAAAGAATACGTGGAGTAAAGGGGCCTTAAGCAAGTATAAATCTTCCAGGGTTTAATGTTGTGTGGGGTATCCGATTGATTATATGCACTGTGTTGTACTTGGTGTTGTAAAACAAATTTGGGAAATTTGGACCACAAGGGGATTTAATGAAGATAATGAAATGTATATTGGAGCTCCTAAAAATTTGGCAGTTGTCAATGAACGCTTGCTAAAAATTAAACCTCCTAATGAAATTCATAGATTGCCGAGAAAAGAACGTGGGAAATGGAAAGCAACTGAATGGCGATCTTGGTTGCTTTATTATGCGATTCCTTGTCTCCATGGAATCTTACCAAATAAATATTTAAAAAATTTCGCTTTACTGCAAAATGCTGTTTACATCATGCTGAAAAGAAGTAGAGAAAATCTGGACAGTGTGGAAAAAATGATTTCTGATTTTTTGAGAGACTTTGAACAACTGTATGGTGCAGAAGCAATGACCTATAATGTGCACCTATTATCTCATCTGGCTACTTCAGTCAAAAAGACCGGCCCTCTTTGGGCTACTTCAGCATTTCCCTTTGAATCAGGACTTTACAAAATTAAAAAGACCGTTAATGGTCCTATGGGAGTTCAAGAGCAAATAATTCTAAAAAATCTTAAATTTGAAAATTTGCGAAAGTTTCTTAATGATAATCAGTTATTAAATAGTTGCAAAGATTGTTGCAAGCTAATTTCGCTTTATCAAATGCAACCAAAAGGAAATAGTGCTCATGTTCTTGGAAGGAATACTGGTCGATGTTGTAAGGCTAATGCATTAATATATGACCGAGTTCTTATCAACGGGGTTTGCTATCATACAGACAAATATATTAGATCAACAAGAAATGACAATTCCTTTTTGAAATTAAAAAGTGGAACCTTTTGTCAAATATCAAAATATTGCAATATGACAATGAGATCGTAAAATTAGAAGTCCAGCAACTTGTAGTTGAACCATTACATTTGGAAAATGTAGAAATATATAATGTGTATAGATATGTAAACAAATTGCCTGATCCTCATATAATAAATATTAGTGATTTAGAGAAAAAATGCATTTTGTTAGATTTAAGCTCTAATCGTAGATTTCTTGCTCTTTATCCCAACACAGTGGAAGTACAGTAATTTTTAATAAAGTTTAAAATCCCCAATATCTTTTTGCGATTAGGTTCAATTGTATTTTATAGTTATAACTATAGGTAGATTTTATATGTCCCCTATTTTTTTGAACTGTATATAGTTCAAAAAATAGGGGACATATAAAATCTACCTAACTAAGTACATTCAGCTAATTGAGACACATTAATACATATTTAAACTTATGTACACAGTTCAAAACAATAGGGGATGTATAAAATACAATTGAACCTAATACATAAGCTGCAAAATAAAACACACTTCAGCCAAATGTATACAAATAGAAAAGATGATATTAAAACTAATATATCCATATTCAAACTTATTTAACATTGGGACACATTGATAAATATTCAAACTTATATATGTATACAGTTCAAAACAATAGGGAACATATAAAATCTAATTGCATAAAATACAATTGAATCTAATACATAAGCTGCAAATAAATCACAGTTCAGTCAAATAGATACAAATAGAAAAGATTATTTTAAAAACTATAACATCCATATTCAAACTTATTTAGCACATTGAGACACATTGATACCTCATTAAACCATTTGGCAGTAATCAATAGAACATAATATTTAACATTAGACTCTGATTAAAAACAAGTTAAAAACTAATTGTTTTCAAATGTAAATTTTCGGCAGGGCTATTACTATCCACATCATAGACTAGACTTTCAACGTTTGAAAAAGGATGCCTGCATAAAAACATTCAATATTTTACCAAAAAATGATTATATGCACTGTGTTGTACTTGGTGTTGTAAAACAAATTTGGGAAATTTGGACCACAAGGGGATTTAATGAAGATAATGAAATGTATATTGGAGCTCCTAAAAATTTGGCAGTTGTCAATGAACGCTTGCTAAAAATTAAACCTCCTAATGAAATTCATAGATTGCCGAGAAAAGAACGTGGGAAATGGAAAGCAACTGAATGGCGATCTTGGTTGCTTTATTATGCGATTCCTTGTCTCCATGGAATCTTACCAAATAAATATTTAAAAAATTTCGCTTTACTGCAAAATGCTGTTTACATCATGCTGAAAAGAAGTAGAGAAAATCTGGACAGTGTGGAAAAAATGATTTCTGATTTTTTGAGAGACTTTGAACAACTGTATGGTGCAGAAGCAATGACCTATAATGTGCACCTATTATCTCATCTGGCTACTTCAGTCAAAAAGACCGGCCCTCTTTGGGCTACTTCAGCATTTCCCTTTGAATCAGGACTTTACAAAATTAAAAAGACCGTTAATGGTCCTATGGGAGTTCAAGAGCAAATAATTCTAAAAAATCTTAAATTTGAAAATTTGCGAAAGTTTCTTAATGATAATCAGTTATTAAATAGTTGCAAAGATTGTTGCAAGCTAATTTCGCTTTATCAAATGCAACCAAAAGGAAATAGTGCTCATGTTCTTGGAAGGAATACTGGTCGATGTTGTAAGGCTAATGCATTAATATATGACCGAGTTCTTATCAACGGGGTTTGCTATCATACAGACAAATATATTAGATCAACAAGAAATGACAATTCCTTTTTGAAATTAAAAAGTGGAACCTTTTGTCAAATATCAAAATATTGCAATATGACAATGAGATCGTAAAATTAGAAGTCCAGCAACTTGTAGTTGAACCATTACATTTGGAAAATGTAGAAATATATAATGTGTATAGATATGTAAACAAATTGCCTGATCCTCATATAATAAATATTAGTGATTTAGAGAAAAAATGCATTTTGTTAGATTTAAGCTCTAATCGTAGATTTCTTGCTCTTTATCCCAACACAGTGGAAGTACAGTAATTTTTAATAAAGTTTAAAATCCCCAATATCTTTTTGCGATTAGGTTCAATTGTATTTTATAGTTATAACTATAGGTAGATTTTATATGTCCCCTATTTTTTTGAACTGTATATAGTTCAAAAAATAGGGGACATATAAAATCTACCTAACTAAGTACATTCAGCTAATTGAGACACATTAATACATATTTAAACTTATGTACACAGTTCAAAACAATAGGGGATGTATAAAATACAATTGAACCTAATACATAAGCTGCAAAATAAAACACACTTCAGCCAAATGTATACAAATAGAAAAGATGATATTAAAACTAATATATCCATATTCAAACTTATTTAACATTGGGACACATTGATAAATATTCAAACTTATATATGTATACAGTTCAAAACAATAGGGAACATATAAAATCTAATTGCATAAAATACAATTGAATCTAATACATAAGCTGCAAATAAATCACAGTTCAGTCAAATAGATACAAATAGAAAAGATTATTTTAAAAACTATAACATCCATATTCAAACTTATTTAGCACATTGAGACACATTGATACCTCATTAAACCATTTGGCAGTAATCAATAGAACATAATATTTAACATTAGACTCTGATTAAAAACAAGTTAAAAACTAATTGTTTTCAAATGTAAATTTTCGGCAGGGCTATTACTATCCACATCATAGACTAGACTTTCAACGTTTGAAAAAGGATGCCTGCATAAAAACATTCAATATTTTACCAAAAAATATTAAAATTATGAATAATTTTAATTTGTTTAAAAGTACAGTTTATGATTGTATTTGTAATACACTTTTGATGATATATTTGATTGCTAATCAGGGTCTTGATCTATATCTTGCTAACTTAACGGGTCCGTTAAAACAGTAACTTTTGCTCAGTTTGGTTGGTAGTTTGCCATGGTTTGGAAGAAAGTTTGAGTCAGTGTCGTATCTCTGGTATACCTACACAGAATGAGATAAACGGCCTTAGATGAAGAAATATTAGTATTATTTATTATTTTTCTTTTATTTTAATGTTTATTATTTTTTTGTGTGCCTAGGTATAATGCGAAGCCACATCATAAATCAGTGCTGCCAACATACAGACTATAATTACAAATGACATTTAATAAACATACCTATTACTAATAAAATTAATCAACACAAGTTATGTATTAAAAGTACATATTTAAATATAAATATGTGATTAAAAATAAGGTAATACCATTAATTTAAGAACTATATAGTTTTTTTAACATTTTTAATTATTTTTAGGTTATGATTTATAAAAATTGAAAAGTTGGGCTTCAAAACACAAGTTTATTATGGTTATTAATTTCTGATGGTTAATTTTATTCGGGGTTTAAAATGCAATATATATTTATTAGGGTGTTTCAAAAAAAATTAAAATTATTTTTTTTTCTAATGGCGAAGAAAAATTAATAGTACATTAAAAAACAAAAATTTTGGCGCATATTTGAGCCCTTAATATTAATATTATGGTTTGCCTCAATTCATTTGTAGTTTTTCCATTTCAATAACACGGGAATTTTTATTTTTTTAATTTTGAATTCTTATAACTTTGGAATGGTTTCTTTTCGCAACACCCAAGCGAGAGGTTTTATAGACAATAATGTAATCAAACAAATTTACCAATAAAAGACTTGACAAAATATACGATTTTTATTTTTTTATAAAATATAAAGAGTAGGCTGTGAACTTAATTGTCGTATATAATACCACTAGTGGTAAAATTTTACCGATAAAATTTTGATTTTCACCAACTATCATTTCCTCGATTTCTTCCAAAATTGCTCGATTTCATTACCCAAATCATTAATTTTTCACTAGCAATAGTTAATTAACTACAAACCAGAGGAAAACGTTTTACGAAAATTTATAAGTTATAAAAATTCCGATTGTGGCGCTAAATTCAAAGTTTTGTTAACTAAACGGGAGCATCATGGATGCTTTGATATCATAAAGATGAACAGCCTAAAACACGTAGTGGAGGAAACAAGACTATATTAAATGAAACGTATGAGCTTGTCAGGTAATAAAACGCAAACTAAAACTTATTTCTTTTCTGGTGATATTTTTAACGGGCCAGTTAGCAAGAAAGATAGATCAAGACCCCGATTGTTTCCTTTCTTATATTGACATGTTTTTTTCTGTGCATACTGTGTTTTTTCCCTTTGTAATTACACTGTCTATTAAAAGATTATTATTATTATTGCTTAAATCTAACCTCCACCGTAAAACTGTTATTTTCAGTGGATTCAAAACTTTTAACAACTGCATCAATATGACCGCATATTTCTGCAAGTATTTCTTTGCAATCCATTTTTACTGACGATACAAGTAGAACAATCACTATTGTTAGTTTATTTTTAACATAACCTATAACTCTGGCTTATAACTTTGTGCGTGCGATTCATGATAAAATACGCGAGCGCAGGCACTACTTTCTGAACGGCAGTAAAGTATGACTTGCTAGGAGTCGCGTATATGCTCCAACATTCTTTACTGTGATTCAAAACGCTACAAATTGACAGATATGTTGAATCATAGTAAGCAATGTATTGTACGTTGCGGCGTATATTTCGGTTTAATCCTTACTGCGTTTCAGTATCACAGTTGTTTACGTTGTTATCACAGATGTTAATATCACAGTTTTGTTGGTTGTTATCACAGTTGGTTTCTTTCTCCCCAGGGAGCACAAAAAAGCATTTGAAAATTGTCACCTTTTCCTCTACATCCAGTATTGTTTTCGGGTTGAGTTGTTTTAACTGTGTTTTGACTATTTTGTAGGCCAGTCCAAATACGTAATTTTCTAGATCTTTACACATCGCCCTCCATGATCTTTTCTTTGACTTATTTATCTCCTTTTTTACCCCCTTTTTTGCCTCATTGTAAGCAATTTTTGCCCTTTTTCTCTCTGCTTGCTCGTTACATCTTTGCATAACCCTTCTCGTGTGATTTTGTCCTCTACCTCCCCTGTCCACCAGTAGGGCATCTGATCTGGCCGTACTTTGCGATATCTTTCGTATTTCGATTTTTTTAAATCTCTTGCAAATTCCGCGTTCATTTTTGGTAGGTTTGTGAAACCGTATTTATGTTTCGCTGAGGTTTTCGTTAATGTTGCCTGGATCTCTGTTAGGACGTAGTTTTGGTCAATTAGCGTTTCATCGTTCGTTACCCACCACTTTGGGACTTCCCTCGTGACATCCGCACAAACAATTGTCAGGCCTATAAAAGAATATCCATTCCATCTATTTAAGGTGTCGTTTAGGACATTTAGGCCCATAGCAAAGGTCCATTCCAGCAGTGTGATGCCTCTTTGATCTGTAACCTCCCCTCCGACTGGGGCTAACGTTTACGCTAAACAGAAGATATTCGTGAGTTTCGACGCATACGAAATCTTTCCCTTGCATTAATTTTTGTATTGGGTCCTTTGAGTTTATTATAGCAGCTGAGATCATTTCATTGTGATATATATTTCTTTTATCCCAGCACTTGTTTTTGTTTGGCTCGCTTATAGTAATGAAATCACATTTCTCCTGTATGCCCTTGAGGGTGGTTAGGTTGTGGACAGCAAGACTATTTTTTGTGTTAATTTTCAGTATCTTCAGCATGATTAGGGTCAGATACATTTTGAATTACCATGCTTTTGCCTTTGGTTTTGTGTCCAGAGTCACCACATTTGTAACATTTTACCTGTCCGGCCCTAGACAGTTTTCCGCTACATGATCGTATGCCCAGCATTTGTAGCATTTGGCGAGCTCGTATTTCTTCTCTAGACCAATTTTTATTTCCTTCTTCTTAAGTAGTTTATCTATTTTGCTATATTCTCCGCTCCCAAAGATCATTTGGGTATTTCTACCCTGTGCTCTAAACTCTCCTATGTCTATCTTTTGTTTGTCGCCGCCCATCTTCCTTTCAAGGTGTTCCCTGACTTCCTTCATCTCCGACGTTTTTCACTATCGCGTATGTGTTCTGTCTTTTTTCACTTTTGCTTTTCTCTGGTCTTGTTTTTATTTTTTGCTCGGTTGTATATATCATAATGTTGGTATTGCTGTCCTTAAAAATTGCCTCCGTCATTTCGCTCAGTCTTTGGACACTCATGTAATTTACGTGGTGTAGCGCTACCCATTCCGAGTCCTTTGTACCTTCCTCCACCATTTTTAGTGCGTTCCACAACTTTGGGTCGAAGTTGTGTCTTATTTTGAATATTATTGGGGTTTCGTTTCTTTCCTTTTTCAAATTTTTGTTGTTTCCTCCATTTCATCGTAGTCTTCTTTAAGCTGGATTATTTCCGGGAATCTATTTTTGTGTATTCGTTGTATGCTTTGTTTTAGTTCTGGATCGTCTGGTTCTTCGAGTAAGACGTTTACTGTAGATTCCTTAGTTTCGAGAGGGTTATCTGTTTTGATCTTCGTTCTTGTGTACGTACACCTCATTGCTCCAGTTTTTTTGTCTCTATCTCCTTCCATTTTTCAAGGTTGTCGATATTCGAGATGTCTGTTATTTTTTTTCCTCCTTCTTTCGGTAGGTTTGAGTGGCGCTGTCCAAGGTTTTTTTTATTTTCGGCATCAAATTTGTGTTCGTTTATCCAATTTAGTATGTCTTTCTTATTTAGTGCTTCCGCTTGTCTATTTATTTTCTTGAGCAGCGTCCTTATTTTCCTTTTTGTGTTTTGCTCCATGTATTTTGTTAGTTTAGCAGCCAGCTCAGTAACCCTACGTATGCCCTCTAACAGTACGCCGCGAAAACTTCTTTTCTTTTTTGCTGGTTTTCCACCGCTGTGTCCGCCTTTCGTTTTTTGCTTGTTCTTACTGGACTCTTTCTATCGAAAAGGCTAGCTCCACCTAGCTCTATTTGGGGGCTTTTCCCTGAACGGGCTTGCCTTCCCTAGCTTTGTTAAGGAGAAGCTCCTACACATCGCGCGGAACACCTCCCTCAAACTCCTAACTGTGGTATTTGCACCCTCGTCCCACGTGAGGTTAACCCCCTTCCACTCTTCTCCAGCAAAGGATGTTCGGGCAGCTTTGTTATAGTAGCTCTCTCCTTCTCGGCCTGATTCCCTGTTTAACCCTTTTGAACCGACTTTTGCAGGATCAAGTTTTAAACGATTTTTTGTTCAAGCTTGGATTCAAATACTTCAAAGGCAAATTTATCTTGACTTGAGATTTTTTCAATAATCAGTTTTTAAAATAGAGCGGTGGGACATATATATCCCACCAGGATTATTTTGTGGGAGTATGTGTCCCAACAGGCATTATTACACAGATTTTATATAGGAACATTTTTATTGGAAAAATACAAAATATACATTTTAAGATTCAAATTTTATGTGTGGAACAATGCAAAACAGTTTTTACACAAAACGACATTACATAACGAACATAATGTGTTAGTTCTTTTTTCGATCTTGCGTTTAGAACATCTAACACATCTCCTGCGACTTGCACCTTCAATTGGCAAATGATTTTCGACATTTAAAAGGTTTTTGGAACTTGTTGAAGGTCGACAAGTGCATCGTCGTCTTCTGATTTTGGCTGTTTCTCTTCCGAAACTTTTGAATGGCTCCTTACTATGTACGTCGCATTTACTGCGGCGGTCATTAGTAGCTTGTAAAATACTTTGCGCCACCATTTTAAAGATTTTCGGTCGTGATCGTATAAAGTTGTTAATTGATCGGAAAGATCTACACCTCCCATATACTGGTTGTAGAAACATATAGCTGCAGGACAAGGTAAGACCTTTCTTTCTCCAGTCTTCAATTTTCTTTTTACTTCACTAAAATGATCCCCATGGCAATTGCTAAGCAACATCACTTTTTTAGTATCTTGCCAAATACAACAAGTAGAACCATGCATGTTTCCAACAACTTTATATTCACCCTTTTCCATTTTACCAATAAATTTTTGCGATTTCTCATAAGGGTGCCAACCGCAGCGAATGGCTGCAGTAACTTTAAAACTACACGTTCTCCTAATGTGCCTTCTTGATTGGGTGCATCGAGATCCTTTCCTGAATAAATATCCATATTGTAAACATACACTGAAAGAAAAAATGTTGTAGAATCATTCAAAACGATAATAATTCAAAGGGATTCAAATATGTTTTGGCGTCATTGGCGTTTCCCATTAAATTAATAGGTGTATAACAATTGCATAATACATATTTTTTGAAACAACGTTGAGAAAGGCAATGAAATAAATAGATTTCTTTTTGTATATATATTTTAAAGATGGTACACAATAAAAGTATTTAAAAACATTGTAAAACTGTTGGTAAATGAATATAAAACAAAAAAAAATTTCTATTTGAATCAAATTTACACGATTATTTAAATTAATATAATTTCATATGCTTTTCAGGACATGATATTTCTCTGAGTGTAACCACTTATGGAATCGCATAGCTCCCAAATATTCCTCGCTTGATGGGTTTTAGAGGCATATATTGCTTGAGACTCGATCTTCCTTTGAATTTCGTCATCGATTCATCGATTGACTGGAAGGTGCTTAAGCTTCTTGCTGACTGAAATTTTTTTTCAGGCAATTCATAACCTCACCAATGTAATAAGTTTTTGGAGCATCATCGGGCTTTTCAGGTTCAGCCAAATACATCTTGGAGAGCAATAGGAAAGCGCGATCTCTGGCTATTGACTTTTTGATGAAGTCATTACCCAAACTAACGTTGCTGCTCCAGTAGTCCTCATACTAGGCACTCGATTATAGCACATGACCAGCGTGACGCCTAAAAGAATAATAATTTCGCCAGAGTCAGTCATTTCATATCTCTTTTTCTTGGCTTTCATGAGAATCTGTAATCTTCTATTATTATTCTGTGCAATATACATGAATAGGCTTTTTGGAAAAACTTGAGAGAACGCATCTATTTTCGAACTAGAACGTGTAACCGAAGCTGTGACGACAGGTTCTTTGAATATTGAAATGGTTTTTCTTGGACAAAAGTTTTCATCAATTTGTTTCCATTCAATATTAGTGTTAGCATCAACTGTCACTTGTTGACCTTGTTGAGTCACTTCTGACTCCTGTGACTCATTATCAAATTGGTCTTCATATTGATGATCATCACTATGGTCTAATTTTTGTCTTTTTTAAGGAGGTACGTCTACATCAAAATCTGAGTTTTCGTCATCGTCAGAAGACTCTTGTGTTTTGTTTTCCGTTGGTTCATAATCTGAGTCGCTGAAATCACTGTCGTGAAATGGATCAACTAATGAATCGACGCGCCGTCTGATAAATTGTCCCGCATTTCTATGTCTGTAAGTCGTTTAGGCATCCTACAAGTAAGACGAAGTAACATAACTAGAAACCTAATGGGACATATTATCCAACTCAAAATACCTAGTGGGATAATGAGTCCCAGACCTGCATTTTATGATTTTTTACGTGAAATATCTTCGTAAACATGATCTATAATAATGCAGTACTTACTTGTTAAGGAGTTCCAATAATTTGGCACAAATATAACACGATTTACTATCAATAATTACAGATAATTAACGCAGCGTGCATGCACCTCTAAGAAAAACAATTGTCATTATCACCGAATCCAAACGACTAGGTGCGAGCTTAACCGAAAAACATTGACAACACATGCGTACCGGATGGGACACAGCTTCCATTGATTTAGGTGTTTTTTAAATCCCTCCAGTTATTTTTAAACTTTTAATGGGACGTATACGTCCCGTAAGGTACGAAAGGGTTAAAGTGTTGTACCATCTGCTGTTGTCATGTTGTTAGAGGTATTGCCCCCCCAGAATCTGTGGGACAGCCTGCTTTCGCAGAAAGGGATTCCCGGCCTGTGGCCGGACCCTCCTGGGTAATATTATTTATACTTTCAATTTTTATAGATGGGTACGTACAGTAGGGTGGAACGAAATTTCGAAATGTAATAGTGCGCAAAAGTTGCCTTTTGGGTCACATATGAAACTTTTAAAATTTGGATGCCATTGAAAAATTTTTTCCGGTGCCCCAACAGGTTTAAAAATTATTAATTTTTAACAAAATACAAAATTTTTAATGCTGGGACAAATACGTGCAGCTTCGGTTAAAAAGTGGAATTCGAATGCCAGCGCCTCTGGAAGGCACGCTGCCAAAATAACTAATCTGTCAACTGGGTAGATGGCGCTCGAGCCGTATTTCATATCGATATATGTAAATTACTATTGACCTGCACGTATTACCACAATCTAACGTATTTGATTGTAGCCATTGATATTTGTTTAGTGTTTGCAGAATACTTGATTAATTAATACGTGTTATAGTGAGTTATTTAAATAAATAAATAAATACACTCATCAACATTTATATTGCATCACCCAAAATTCTTTAAAATAAATATGTTGAAGAAAAATAAACTTTGCCAGCTTACTTCTTAATAATATTAAATTAAATAAAGCACAAAGCATATACGGTAAAGGTTTTTATTCTTGTATTAAAAATTCAAATAAACAAATCTACAAAAATCACCAAATTCAAACTTAGTCTACATATAGTTTTTATTGAAAAAAAAATATTAAAATAGAATCAATATTTCGTCGGCCCCCCTCTTGCTCTTATGCAAGCTTCTATTCTTCGAGGAACACTTTCTATAAGATTATTTATGAGCTGCTGAGGAATATTCTCCCAAATCACTGTGGCAGCATTAATAAGGTCTGGAAGGGCTGCATAACCCTGATTTTGTTCCCGAACTCTTCTTTTTAACATATCCCATCCATGTTCGATCGGATTAAGATCTGGAGACTTTGGTGGCCATTGTAAACTAACAATATTTTCGGCTTCCTTGAAGTCCACCACCCGTTGTGCGCGATGGGAAGTCGCGTTGTCGTCCATAAACAAAAAATGTTCTCCTACAGCACCCCTCCATAAACGAACAACAGGGTTTAATACGGAATTGATGTATACTTGACCAGTCATGTTGCCAGGAATCAGAGTAAGAGGCGTCCGATCATTCCACATTATGCCTCCCCAAAACATTGCACTTCCACCTTCAAATGGGACAACTTCTCGGTAATTAGCGGCCCTAGATTCACTTCCTGGAACTCGCCAAACATGTACCCGCCGATCGTCCGACACTAAACCAATTCTAGTTTCATCCGAAAACATGACATTCTTCCATTGATCCAATCCCCAGTTTTGGTGTTCACGGCACCAATTTAAACGGGCAACCTTGTGATTATTTGTTAGTTTTAAAACTCTTAAAGGTATCCGGCTTTTAAAATTGGCCTCATGTAGCCGCCTTCTAATGGTTTGGCCCGAAACTTCAATTTGGTGCGCGCCCTGAAATTGCTGCCTGATGGCTTCGGCTGTAATGGTAGGGTTTCTACGGGCTAATTGAACAATAAATCGGTCCTGATTAGGGGTTGTTATGCGATGGCGAGCTTCTCTTGGACGATTTTCCAAATTTCCGAGTTCTAAATACCTTCGGTATGTTCTCGATACATCACTTTGGTTCA